TTATTTGTAGCAGCAAAATTAGTCTATGTTTTTACTATGACTTGTCTTGTGGTATCTTGTTAGATTCAGCTCAGTGTGAAGTTTCTTATTTTCAACCTTTTATAATTTTGTATGATGCGTAGTTGAAGATGATATTATAAAAGTTCCTAAACTGAAAACTTGAAATTGATGGATCTGCAAATCATGGTTAGAATGAGCAATGATAATTTTTAAGGAATTACATCTAATCTGTGTGCAACATTACAAAAAGGTGAAAATAAAGAAATCATATGATTTCCACACTGCCTTTAAACCCAATGTGTAATATCTTCTTGACATTCCCATTATCGAGGTGGCTTATTTATTTTTCTTGCTTGATTACTTCTGACAGATCTTCATTCGATTGGGGGGTTGTCTCCTCTGCTTGGTTATCTTAAAAATCGGCATGCGAATATACGTGCAAAGGCTGCGGATGTTGTGACAACTGTTGTTCAGAATAATCCTAAGAGTCAACAACTAGTAATGGAAGCAAATGGCTTTGAACCACTTCTTACAAACTTCACTTCAGATCCTGATATGAAAGTGCGTACACAGGCACTGGGTGCTTTATCATGTGAGTCTCCAGCCCCTCTTTTTTTTTTTTAACCCTATTTACCTTTCATCCACGAGAGTGATTGTTCTTTCCCTTGTCGTGCTGCCTTGAAATATTGATGTGTATTCCTGGTGTTGGTTGCAGCTTTAATCCGTCACAACAAGCCTGGAGTTGCAGCATTTCGCCTTGCAAATGGTTATGCGGCATTGAAAGATGCTTTAAGCTCTGAGAACGTTAGATTTCAAAGGTTTTCATGTTATTATGATGATTTAGGAAGGGAATATCTGAGTATATTTTGCTCTTTGCTAGCTTTTCTGCTATCTGCCGATCCCTTATGGAAGTATGTTTTTTGCAGGAAAGCATTGCATTTGCTTCATTATCTGCTACGGGAAAACCGATCTGATGGCTGTGTAGTAACTGAACTAGGGTTCCCCCGTATCATGATTCACCTTGCTTCTAGTGAGGATACATCTGTTAGAGAAGCTGCCCTACAGGGTTTGCTGGAGCTTGCACGTGGAAAACTTAATGAGACCACTGGTCAATCAATTGAAGATGATAAATTGAAGCAGCTGCTTGAAGAACGAATTCAAAGCATCAGCACTATGTCACAGGAAGAGCTTGGGGCTGTGAAGGAAGAGAGGCAGCTGATTGACTCACTGTGGAATGCTTTCTACAATGAGCCATCTGCCCTTCGGGAGAAGGGTCTTCTTGTTCTTCCTGGTGAAGACCAAGATTCACCTCCACCAGATGTTGCCAGCAAACACTTTGAACCTCCTCTTCGGGCTTGGGCACCAAAACAGAAACCTGAGAAGCCTTCTGAGCCTGCAAAGAAAGAGACTCCTTTGCTCTTAGGTCCTAGTTTTTTTTCGGATTCTGCTTGCATTCAAAGTAGCTCCAATGGAAGTGCTGACAATAGTGAGGGCCCTACAAATGCTTCTTCCTAGGCTGCGTTTCTTTGAAGCTTTTCTTGGTTCAAAATTATTACAAGGTCTTATTTTGGATTTCTTGTTGTAGTTCACTTAATGAAATATAGTTTGCAATGTTAATGGTGAAGCTAATGCAGTATAAATTTGGATTATGGTTTGATAATGCAACTTTGGTTTTCATTTGTGATAAGTGTTTTGTTGTTTCAAGTTTGTTTGAATGTAGATACAAAGGACCTAGCAAGAATTCTGTAAACACTGTTAAATTCAACCATTTAGGGGATAAGCTAATGCAGCATAAATTTGGATTATGGTCGGATTGCTTGAACATTACATTTAGGGGTGCTCATTATTACATGATACCTGAAGAGACATGTATCTGCATTTGCAGCTAGTCAGAAAGTTTGTCATGACTCGAAACCTGCTAAAAACGGTTAAGTTTTGGTGTATAGCGCCGTTTTAGAAACATATAGGATGGTAAAATGTACAACTAGGTGACTTAGGATGACAAAAAAGTAACACTTCATGCATAATAGTACACAAAAAGTATTATTAATACAACTTATGCTTTAATGATACATTAGACCATTTCCAATAGTGAGACTCAAATTTGAGGATTGAAATCTAAAATGAGTTGTTGTTTTATCTTCAATGCTGATACCATACTCACTTCTCAATTTAACTACTCATGTGAAGCTTAATTTTCCAATGGTGAGACTCTCTAAAATATATAAATGTCACTTTCAATTTATGACTCACCAAATCCATTTCTATTTTATTATCAAATATTGTAAGATTATAAAAAAAGTAAAACTTAAATAAATTACAAAATATATTAGAATTTTGATAAGGGGTCCACACTTTTTATCAAATGAGACTCAAAGTTGAGTATTAAACTTAGCAACTTTTTTTTGGAGCTGTTAAGTTTAGATACCAACTTATTGGTATACATTGAAAAAAAATACTCTCTCTCCCCTACAATTGCTCACTTAAGTCTTACCATTGTAGAGGGTCTTATAAAATGTACCACTGTAGAAAAACATCAAATAAAAAAAATTAAATAAAAACCCCATAATACCCTCCTATATTTATGTTTAATAAATAGGTATTATGCGTCTATATGCATACCTAAAAAACTACTGCCTATTTTTCATTTGACAAACAAAAATAATTACTTTTCAGCTCGGGACATGCGTTGAACTTGTTGTCATTGTAATACCTTTGTGCAGGTTTGAACACTTTTTTTATAAGCCCTACATATTTTGCAAGCAGTAAAAGTGTTTTGGCTTATACAAAAAAAAAACAATCTTATTTTCCCTTAACAACATATTTATGCATGAGACTACTAAATGCACGCCATAATTCAGAGTTTAACAAATTAAAACACAAATAGAGTATTTAAAACTAAGAAATTATTAAGGTGTCACATTCACGTTGTCACGACCTTTTTTTTTTTGACAAAGGAAACACACAACAAATAACCTAAAAAGGAAAACAAAGCAAATCCCTACGACGAGCAACTACATACCTTTCTCCTGTTGTCATGGCATGGTTATATTCATACCTTTTTCCTGTGTTGCATTATCGTTTGGATGGAAGATAATGACGATTGAAAACCCTAATTTGACTAACTCCTAACTTATTGAAAATTTTCCCCCAAATTAGACAGATTTTGAAAAAGGAATAAGAACAAAGAGTGAGAGTAGAGAGAGGAGGGAAATAGGAGGTAGTTAGTGAAACCCAATATGACGACACAAATCACAATTGAGGAGTTCGGTAAAGTGGTGGTAAAATTTAAGATTTTGGAAAAATGTTGGTGGTAAAATAAAAATGAAAAAATTGTCAGGAATATTATGACCTTTCAATGATTCGCTCAAAATATAGCGACCTTTGGATTATCCCGGAATATTACAACCATTGACCCTTATCTTCCAAAAATGGGGCGTAACTAGTTGGTGACCTTTTTTTTTTTTAAAAAAAAAAAAAAAAAAAAAAAAAAAAAAAAAAAAAAAAAAAAAAACAAATTTCTTACAAAAAACTAAACCCACAACCATCCCCTTTTGCCGGTGCCACCCTCCCTACCCCTACCCCCGTTAGCCCGACCACCCTAAAACCCCACGTCGACGCCTCTCGATCCCTACCCTTGAACCGCCGCCTCCTCCTTTCCTTTAGCCGTCATCTGCAACCTCCTAATCTTCGTTCTACACCTGAAAAACCCATCACCGATCAAATTAAGGACATGACCTTAGGGTCATTGAGGAACGGAGGAGGAGGAGGAAGCGGTGGAAGAGTGGTTGCTTGATGTCATGGGAAGGTGCGGTGGGTGAGCGAAGGGAGTAGGTTAATAGGACTCGAGCCTCATAGGCGGTTGTGATGGTGATGAATGAGGGGGGATTATCGGCGACAGCCGGCGGTGAGGGGGGGGGGGGGTTGAGGGCTACATCGGCGCCGACCGGCGCTTAGGGGGGTGGTCGATGTATTGGCGCCGACCGGGAAGGGGTGGGGTCCGCAAGTACGAGAAGGGGAACTGGGTTTTTTCTGTTTTTTTAATTAAACTTAAAATTTTTTAAATCTTAACCAATCAGAACGTGCCACGTGTCTAGGTTAATCTGTTTAACAGGTAAACAATTTTTTTTATCCTATTTATGGCAAATCAGGGTCAAAGGTAGGGGTGAACATGGTCTGGTTTGGTGTGGTTTGAGTATAAACCAAATCAAACCGTAAAATACGGTTTGGTCAATTTTCCAAACCAAACCAAATCGTAATAATGCGATTTGGTTTGCAGTTTATGATGAGACGACATTTTTTCCTAAAAATTGTCAAATATTTATAAATTTATAATAAAGTTCAAATAATTAGGCAAAGGGATTAAATTCTACTACAAATTTTTAATAAAAAGTAACAACCAACTAATTAAGTGCTAAGTGCTAACACAATAACACATAAAAAAAATAATACATAACCAATTAACAGTGGAAAAAAAATAATACATTTGTCTAGAAAAATAATTCATACTACATTATAGTTTTGAGATTGAGTATAGAGTATAGTAGTATACTGATCGTTTTAGTCTTCTAATGATTTTTTATGTTTTTTTTTTTTTTTTTTTTTTTTTTTTTTTTTTTTTTTTTTTAATATATAATAACTATTTTAATTTATTTAAAAATTATTTAAATATTAAAATGCGGTTTAATGGTTTACGGTTGGTTTGGTTTATAATTTATGAAAAACCAAACCAAACCGCAAACCGTATTTCCCAAAAAATCGAAACCAAACCGTATTTTTCCAAACCGCAAACCAAACCAAACTGCTAAAATGCGGTTTATTCTGGTTTGGTTACCGTCTAGACCAAACTGTGTACAGCCCTAGTCAAAGGTTGTAATATTCCGGAATAATACATAGGTCGTTATATTTTGAACGGACCGCTAAAAGGTCATAATATTCCTGATAATTTTTCTAATAACAATTAAAAAAAATGTTAGTGGTAATAACTAAAACGTCAATTATAATAGGTGGTAATAACCAAGGGAATACTGACAAAAATATAATAGACTTGAATACTGTGTGTCAACTAGCTAAAATGGTTAGTTTTTGAGTGATGAACCAAGACATGGAAATAATTTCTGTCAATTACTCATGGCACACTACCAAAACAAAGCATCAAAGGACACTCAAATTGTTGAATTAACATTTCTTAATTTTGGTACTCATTCTATGAATAATTGAATGTTAACGTATAACTGAAAACGAGAATCTTACAACCAAGCAGCCCCTAATTTTACAAGTCGATTTCTAATAAATCTGAATTTGCATTTGGGATATCTTCAGTCAGGGCAGTTTCAACAGCATTCACTATTATGATTATACAATCTTCATTGTAACTCATACGTTGAAAAACTGAAGCCAGACCTCCCTTCATTACTAGATTTTAACTCCAGCTTCTGAAAAGGACTGCAAAACCATATTCATGATAAAATCAACACTACAAGATCCACAAATACCACGAAGTTTACGTTCAAAACCCCTCTCCCCAACCTTGCCCTAGTTTTCATCTTCAAGAAAATAAAATGAGGACATGTATTACTGTTAAAAGCATTATGTTAATACCTGCTATTAGGATCATAGTAGAAGCCATTAATGGAGCCATCATTACAGGAGAAGCATACGTAATAAAAGCCCGCTATTGTTAAGCCGCAGTCAGTACCAACATTTACAAAATACTGTTCCTTCCATCTCTGCGTTAGATCCACAAATAAATGGTTTAAATTATAATTAATATCCTAAGTTATCCTTCCATTTCTGATATAGCAGGAAAACACACCAACTTACCATGAAAATGAATGGATAGTTACTCAAGTCCAGTGACTTCCCACCATCAACCTCCACTTGACTCTAATAAGACATCATATCAGACTACAAAGATAATATATTCTGCTCAGGCACAAAATATATTTTGGAATTACTTACCAAAAGGGGTGCAAAGGACTGAAATTTTGTCCAGTGCCTAATATCATCCTCAGGCCTACAACAGTATTTCAAGCCAAGAGATAAATTTAATTTAGAAAATGTTAAACCGACCTCATATTTATAGCTTAGATAATCCTCACAATGAAAGCTAAGGAGCCTAATTGTAAAAACCTCCCATATTCTTTCAAGTAAAGGGATAGAAACCTCACGTTGCCTCCCATTTTCCAGTGAAGAAGGTATAATTCTTGGTATCAACAATTTCCCCTTCCCAAAAAGTCACCACCTGTATGTTGTTACCAGAGAAGCTTGTCAGCAATGCATCGTAGACTATGGAAGCAGAAAAAACAATTTATGCAAACATTTAAAAATTATTAAAGTCAGAATTAGGCCTGTCTCCCCCTCCCTAAATAATTACTTCCTATCATCCTTTGAGCTGATTCTCCATCATATATATTCTCTTTACATTCTTGTTTCTCTTCTACTAATTGACTTTTACCCTTCTCTTTCCCCAAGTTCCAATCAATAACTCTGCATGGCATTCACTGCCGCGTCTCTTGTGGTAACTCTATGGCGGCCGGCATAAAACCTTAATCACATCTTATGGACATTAAATGCGAGGATATTAACACATATGCCAACATAAAACAAAGTATATTCTTATCAAGGAATGGTAGGAGAAAGGGTCATATTGATTGTAAGTTGAATCCTGGTGAGAGTACAACCTAACATAGATTGGTTGTGGTTGATTTTTGTTGTAAGAGATATATAAGACCACACCTAGATCCTAAGCATAAGTGGTGGAATTTTAAAGGGAAGAACCATCAAAATTTGTTGCAAACTAGCAAGGAAAATTTTCTTTCTTATAACATGGATTTGGATATGGATTTAGTGTAAATTAAATGAAGCATAACCAAAAGAAAGTGGTGGAAAAGGTCCTACAAGAATCTAAAAGGAAGCATGTTGCCAAATAAGAACACATCTTGGTGTAATTAAAAAGTGACGAGTGATTAAATCGCAAACAAGAATAATATACAATGTATGGGAAAGATAAGATTTATAAGTATAAAGAAGCTAGAAGGGAATTAAAGAAAGTTGTACGAGAAGCAAAACCGAAGGTGAATTTAGAGCTGATGCAAGGTTGGATATGAAAGAAGGGAAAACGGCATTGACTTGCTCATAGATGATGATTATAGGAAGGGCAAATGTGTGAAGGAGATAAAGGTCTTACTTAATAATTTATTCAATGGAGATCAGTTATTAGGATTTAACAAAAAGGGAGAGAAGTCAATATAGCATTCAATAAAAAAGAATGAAAGAAACTATTAAGGTTTAAAGATGTTTAAGGGAGAAAGGAACTGAAGGTGGACAACATTTTTCAACAAGATATACAAATGCAATAAGATGCCATTGAAGTGGAGGAAAAGTACTCTATTCCCTTTGTACCCAAAAAAAAAATGTCAAGGATTGTGCATTATTGAGAGATAAAACTAATGAATTATACAGTTATACTATAAAACTTTGAAAGCAAGTGATTGAACAAAGGTTAATGAGAAGAATGAAATATAGAGAGCTAATTTAGCTTTTGGCTTTATGCTAGGACGAACAATCATGGAGGTAATTTATTTCATGAGATAGCCAATGGAGAAGTATTGGGATAAGGACTAACATATGGTTTTCATCGATTTGGAAAAGTCCTATGACAAGGTCCAGAGATACTTTGGTGGGTTTTTAATAATTAGAGGTATTTTTGAAAAAAAAATATATTAACATCATTCAGGGCATATACGAAGGAGTTAGCACGAGAGTGCAAATCTGGGAAGATATAAGAGCTCCGTAGCTATCACAATTATAGTACATAAGGTTTTACACATAGCCATTTTCTTTTAGCTATAGTCATAGACAAATAAACGAATTCAATTAAGATGTTGTACCTTGTGCATAATGTCTGTTAATGAATGATGCCTAGATGAGAGGAAAGGTGGTGTTAAAAGTATAATAGAATTTTAGAGATGGAATCTGGAATCATCGAATTTTCTACAAACATTTCTCTATTTCTCCTTAGAAAAATACCTTTTATCATGTATTCCCTCCGTTTTTAAATACTTGCTCCATTTTCCTTTTCCCGCCGTTTTTAAATACTTGCTCTATTTCCTTATTTGAAAAAGTTTTATATTATTTAATTAATTTCTCTCAACTAGTGGGACTCAGTATAATTGTATTTTATTACCTTTTGATTCTCTCTCCTCCAATTTACATTTCACCAACCCCACTACCTCCTTATTTTATTATTTTTTCCAATTTCTCCTAAAACTCCACGCATGGAGAAATGAAGCTAGTATTTAAAAACAGAGGGAGTATCAGTCTCATAAATAAACATTATCTGGTGTGGTGTTAACCTGAAGCCAACGAAACACAACTTGTTTATCTTTGAACAGGTAGACATGAAATTTCTACAATGTTCAAAAATGGCAGAAATCTCCAATTACATGAGATTGTTATTCACTGAAATTCTTCATCAATTCCTATCTAGTATCAACAAAAGTAAGCAATAATAATTCTGATAGAGAGCTTGTATGAGAATTCATATTATCATCATCATTCAGAAGAATGGCTTACTGGTGTATCTGCCATTGGAACATTAAGAGCTTCCATTGTGCCACACAGATATCCATGCTCTAGGTCACAACCTTGTATACGTACATTGACTCTCCAAGCTTCGTCCTTTTGTACACTGGAAACATTTTGAGTTCCAGAAAATGCCTAAAACAGAAAAGAATCACAATCATACATCATACCTAAAACTGCACCATTACATCACACATAACACTAGAATATTGCGGTACTCATACTTCAATCTTGCAAGTAAATAGCAAAGTATTAATGGCAGTTAATGATTTTATAAGATAAGAAAAGAAATCATAAAAGAATAAAGAGAAATTTACAGTATATAAGGAATACGAGTCTTCTCATTATGTACAATATTAAAATGCAATCAATAACTGCCAATAAAAAGATCATTACTCATGGCTAATACATCATTATGTTGGGAGAGGTTTGAGGCAAAAAAGAAGTTTAACCAACTCAAACCTCTTATAAAAGTGTTTAAATGAGAGAGAACTGAAAGAGCTTTGTGCCCAAAAAGCTACTATTAGCAGCTTTTTGATGAGAGAGGTTTATGAAAGTTAAAATGACTCTTTTATTAAAAGTTGGTCAAATTTATCACCTATTACAAAGTTAGCTTAAGAATACACATAATGATAAACTAGGCATGTATGATTATTGGTCATTTTACATAATATAGTAGCTATTGGCTACTTACCAAACACTTTTACATAGACAACTAATACAACCAGGTAGTGAGACCCACTTATAGAAATAACAACTAATACTCTTTAATAATTAGTGTGTCGAGTCATTTTTTAAAACCGTTTATAAATTTGTTGTCACTAAGAATTAGAAAAAGTTGAAAAGAACAATCCCACCTTCGCTCTCAAAACGAGCCAACCTTTGCGTATTCTGGGAATGAGCCAACCTTTGCATCCTGATTTCTCTAAACAAGCCTTTAACCAGTTTTTGGTAACCGATTCTAGAAGGTAACTTTCCACGTGTCACCTTAATTGGTCTTTTTTTAAAATTTTAAAATAATTTTTTTTTTAAAAAAAAAAAGGAACCAGCTCCTTCCTCCCTCTATGATCCCTCACCTGACTCACCCCCCCACCCCGGGCCTCCCCCGTTAGCTACCTCTTTCTCCAGCACCCAACCAATCACCATGCACCTTCCCTTCCTCTCTCAGCACTGCACTTCCACCATCAGCAATCAACAAAGCCGCACAACCACTGATCTTTGACTACTACCAGCAGCCTGTAATGGACTGATATTACTCGATATAATAATCGTACAACAAAGGAGAAAACCCAGAAATTTGATTAAACAAATTAATGGTTTCTTACAAATGGTAGTAGTAAGTTAAGCCGATAAAGCTCCAATAGTGACTTGAGGTCACAACTCTCCTAAGGAATCACTCCAATATTCTGCCTCCCTTCTTCTTTCTACCCTCCCTCTATTTATACTAAACCTACTGACCAAAACCTAATAATAATACTAGAATTCCCAAATTACCCCTCCTAAAGCCAATCTATAACACAGCCCCACATCGACCACTGCACCTTGCAGGGACGCAGCTGCCCAACACCACACACCCTCCTTCCTGGCACAACAGCATGCCACCATCCCACCACCAGCAATCAAATAAGCCACACAATGACCACAACCATCACTCCTCAACCACAACCAGCAGCCCCACACCGACATCCAACTACCGCACCTAGCAAGTTAGCAGCCACAACAAAAACCATCAAAATAACAAACATTTTCCCAGGAGGCCAGGAAGCGATTATACCATCATGTTGGGGATGGATTTTTGAATCCTCTTGTAAATGAGGATACGACGTCGTTTAATCATCATCGAAAGTCAAATGATGCGTCACTCGCTCCTTACGTCACAGGGCTTTCGAAGCCACAAACCAGCGAGCTTCGAATGTTTCTAATAACCTCAACAATCATAGTAACCCATCATAGAAACACCCATTCGGTCCAGTAGCCGGCGAAGGATCCGAAATGAGGGAAACAACAGCCGCAATTGGCATATGTTCATACATTGGTGGAGCGAGATTAAAGGGGAAAAAAAAAAAGAGAGAGAACGTATTTGCTGCTGATTTTGGTTATTGCTTCCTGGAAGGGGTGGGGGTTGCCGGGGAAAGGGGTTGTGTCGTGGTGGTTTTGGTGGAAGAGAGAGTGGAAAGGTGACAAGGGAGGGATTAAAGAAAAAACAATTAAAAAAAATTGCAGGTTGTAGGTAACAAGACTTGTTTTGAAAAGATAGGGGGCAAAGGTTGGCCCGTTTCCAAAATACGCAAAGGTTGACTCATTTTGAGTAGGTTGAGCAAAGGTGGGATTATTATTTTCAATTTTCCTTAATATTATTGAACAACCTTGCATCTATTGCATGGGGTTCAACCCAGTACTATTGTAGACTAAATAATGAATTCTTATCCTACATTTCCTCTTATTGTTTAGTATTTTAGCATCCCATAATTTATTTATTGTCATGCATAAATATTATTACATCATCTTGTTTTTTTAGTATTTTAGCATCCCATAATCTAAGATGGATTGTTTATACATCATCTCAAGTATTTCAAAATCACCTCTTAGAGTTTGAAGGAAAACCTTCTTTAATCTAATTACTCCTTCAATTGAATTTTAAAGAGTGCCCCATGCTTGTTCAAACCTAGTTACATTAGCAACTTTCTCAAACATATCATCATCCAAACCATAATGGATGATCTTAAATTCCTAAGTGCATTTTGGTCTTTTTTTTCTCGCCCTTTTCAAAGCTTATTTCTCCGTTTGGTTCAATTTTAGAGTTTTAGACTAATGTGCATAGCCATTCTCAATTATATCCCAAACTCCTTGTGCACCTAGAATAGTTTTCATGCAAAGAGGCCATTTATCATAAGTTTCTTTAGTGAGTCTAGGATATTGAAAAACTACGAGATTATTTTTTGTCCCCATAATTTATTAGAAGCGGGATGGACACTCACAATAATATCCCACAATAAGACAATATATGCACTTAAAATAATTCTCATAATTCTTTAGAATTCCCTCAATGTGAATACTACAAAAATCAAATACAAAATGCATTTATATAATGTTGCTGTAAACTAAATAATGAATTATATCCTACATATTCTCTTATTATCTACTCCTTCCATAGTTCCTGTTTGTGTTTTTTCCCGGTATTTAAAAAATGGGAAGAGAAACTGGATAAAGTACATTAAAAAGATGAAAATACAATTAGAGGCTAAAGTTAGAGAGAGAAAGTGGGAAAAAGTACATGCAAGTGTAAAAATCAAGGGTAATTCAGAAAGTTCAATGAATAATGTTAAAAAAATTAGGGTATAATAGTCTTTATATACTATCCAATAATAGATATAGGAACAATATTTTGAGTCTCCAAAATAGGAAAATAGGAACAATATTGTGGGACGGATGTAGTATTTTAGCATCCCATAAATTTCTCATTGTCATGCATTAATATTGTTACCTTATTTGTCTAGTTTAGCTAATTTTTCCTTCTCTCTCTCTCTCTCTCTCTCTCTCTCTCTCTTTCTATCTCTCTCTCTCTCTCTCTCTCTCTCCTTCTCTTTCTTTGTTCCATGTTCTCTACTCTTTTTTATTCTTTCTACAATCAAATGTTCAGGACCCAACAAATAAAGCACTTGCATTTTGAAGATAACAAAAACAATGTTCTTAATTTGCACTTTTTTATTTGTTATACTAGAACAAAGTTAAATTATAAAATCTGTTAATGTTATTATTAACTAGAAAAACTAGACCTCAGATATAAACATAAGTCTATTTTTGGTACATGAAGTTAAACAAAATTACATTTGGACAAACTCAATTTTGGACATACTTTAAGTAACTAAGATTCAAAAAGATGTTTCAATTTAAGACCTCCATTCTTTTAACTCCTTTTTGCTCACAATAACCAAAACAATTAAAGATGGGGAAATTTGCAACAATTTGGAAAAGGCATAAACTAAACTTTTCTTGTAACAGTTAGTTATACTTTATAAAGAGGAATTTTGAAAGCCAATTGAATGAAATAATTCATGATGAGACATCTTCAAATAGATAACTTATCTTAGCCATCCAAATTTGTAATCTAAGAAGAATGTTACCCTATTTAGGGAGGTAGTCAATCAGTCAACTACTACTACTTTATGAAACTGGATGCAAAATAGAGATCACCAAAGTGGAATTTTATTTAACGGTTATTGCTGCCAACCAAATGTGACTGTGTCATCCTCATTGAACTTCATATTTCATAACAAAAATCTATTAGATTTATAGCATGCTTGATTGAAAAGTGGGGAGAGAGAGAGAGAGAGAATGAAGGGGAGATATGAAGTCATTAAGACAAAGGAGTGAGTGGAAGGATGATATGAAGGGGAGTGGAGAAGATCTGACTTGCTAGTGGGAGGGGATTCATTCATTAGGTGAGTTAAGGGATAACTTATTATATCAAGGAGATAACGAACATAACACAAGAAACCAGCAGAGAAAAGATGTATGCAACTAGAAAACATGCAAATGGATAATTCAGTGCCTAGCCATATAGTCATGGTCACACTGTGGGACACACTCCTGCTTACTTAGTGGCAAGGGAGCAAACCAGGTGCAGAGCCCACATTTCAGAAATAGGCGCTGTTGCCGATTGGCAACAAGAGGGGTAAGGGTTCATCGAGCTTGTGAATGCAAAGTTCGGCAAGGGGAACACGCGAGATAACGACAAGATGTTATCTTGTAAAAAATGAAGCTTTAAAACAAGCGAGCTTTAAGAAGAATGTTACCTTGTTTCGTTAGACTTTTAACTATAAAACCTCATACCAAGAGGGCAAGAGGATTCTAACTCTACCCCATCCCCCTAGAAATTCATGCTCACCTCACCCCCTAAGAATAACAATCCATTTGTTTAATGAGATACGTAAATCATTCCAACAATAAACCAAACGACTTTAAACTAATGCCGGAAAATATGAGATTCCATATCAATCTATTCCAAATACAATAAACCAAATGACCCCTAAAACACAATAAAAAGGAGTGTGGTTCAAACACATTCTTGAAAAGCTTTCAAAGGCCTAATTACCTCTAAGCCTACTAGGCCGACAATTTTAGCGATTCTACTT